GAATCCTGGGGTCTTGGGGGGAGGGAGGGGGGGAACCTCCCAAGGACTCAGGCAACCCCTCTAACTTCCTATTCTGTGTGTTTGTATATGTCTATTCTGCAGGTGGTGAGGGCCATCAGCTCGGAGCTGCTGAACAGGATTGTCCACCTTGGAGACCTAGACACCATCATGGCCGGTTTTGCAGGGCTGGGATTCCCAAACTGCGAAGGAGCGCTTGATGGAACGCACATTCCCATCCGGGCACCACCCCATCGAGCCACCCAGTATAACAACAGAAAAGGGTACTTTTCCATTGTGCTGCAGGCCCTGGTTGACAACCGTGGACTATTTACGGACCTTTGTGTGGGGTGGTCGGGCCGGGCACATGATGCTTGGATCTTCTGCAATTCACACCTGTACGAAAGGCTGCAGACAGGAACCTTCTTCCCCCAGCAAACCTTTGCTATTGGGGACGTAGAGATGCCGGTCTTCATTGTGGCCGATGCGGTGTACCCCCTCATGCCCTGGCTTATGAAGCCATACACAGATGCATCTGACCCCGAGCAGGGAAATGTTTAATGCACACCAGGCATGCACATGTTTACAGGTGGAATGCGTATTTGGCCAGCTGAAGGGAAGGTTTAGGTGCCTGCTAACTTGCCTTGACATGGGGGAACACAATATCCCAGAGGTGGTGGCAGCATGTTGCATCCTCCACAACCTGTGGAGAGTAAAGGGGAGGCCTTCCTCCCAGGTTGGGGGCCAATGGCTGAAGTGGAGGGGAGGCGGTTTGCACAGCCTTGGACAGCTGCCATTCGCCAAGCCCATCAGGTGGGGGTTTGCATCCGGGAGGCTCTGCGTGAGCGCTTCTCAGCTGGAGCCCAATGGGCTTGTGGGCCTGGGCCCCCCCGTCCCAAAACCTTCCCTCCCATAATCCATCCCTGCATCAGCTGCCGAACATTTAAGACACACGCATCAAGTTAAATATGAAAAATATAATGTTTATTAACAAGTTATGTTAGAATTAGGAATCGTTATAAAACAAATGTTAAAAAATAAACTTTTTTGGAACTATTAACCTGTGTTTATAACTGTGGTAGGAGGGGGGGATTTCAACCTGGAGGGAGGGAGGAAGGGACGGGGGGAATTTCAACCTCGAGGGAGGGGGGATTTCAACCTGGAGGGAGGGAGGAGGGAGGAAGGGAGGGTGAGCAAAAAACTTAAGGGTAATGGCGGTATTGCCTGGGCCGCAAGGCTTTGATACCTCTTGTCAATGGACCCTGCCATCCTCAGGCTCGAGTCGGGGTTACAGATGACTCTGCTCTAGCGGTGGGGGAAGAGGGGACAGGGCTGGAAGGGTGGCAGGGGCTGAGGGAGAGGAAGGGGG